GGCTTCATCAGAGTATAGGCATTAGGTGAAAGAAATGTGTCAAACATTTATACAGTTGAGACTTGAGAGAGGTGTATTATCTGTTGCATTTTGGGTATCATAAGGCAATCCTCATGATTACAGTGCTGTTTTTTTTTTCTTTTTAAAATCTTGTCTTCTTAATCTTTCCTGGTAGACTTGTTCTGCTTGATGTATTCACTTTGTTGTCACACATGCCACTTGTCCATGAAGGTGCCTCTTTTGGTGTTTTTTTTTTCTTGTGGGGGTTTTGGGGTGGGGGGTGGGGAGGTGGGGGTTGGGGGGGTTAAAGTAATATGTTATTCCCTCCTTTGGTGTTTCCGTGCAACTCTTCCTTCTGGACCTATATATAACATGATACATAACACAAATTTGTCTCATTAAAGGTCCTAAAACTGTGAAGCTGTTTTCTAACAAGGAGCACATGGGATTTAGGTAATTTTTTGAGCTTTCATTACTTTTTATGACCTTTTCTGGACTGATTATTCTGTGGGAAATTTTTTCAAATCTGCTATGTATATTTGCTAATTTGGGTGGACTTCTCTGCAGTAATGTCAGTGATTACCCTCCGAGTGATACAGCAGTTTTATCTGAAGATAATCTCAAGGTAAGGCAATGTTGATACAGGAATTACGGTTCTTGCAGTGTTAACTAAATGATTTTTTGCTTGTATAATTCTCAAGTTTCCCTGGATATTCATTCTTCAAAACTCGTTCTTTGCAGGGAAAACCAGTTATCTTGAAGTATGTTAAGTTTCAAAATGTTCGCAGGTATGCAAATATCCGCTGGTCTTCATACTTTTACAGTAGTAGTGTGTAAGATGGGAATTAATCTTCTCTATTGCTATTGGACCAGTGTGACCATTTTTATTGAGGACAATCAATCTGATTCTGAACTGACAAAAGTTCAAAAAATTGTCCTGTATGGAACAACGTAAGTTTCTTATGCCCTCATTCCTTTCGCACGATATCCTATCATTTTTCCTCCTTTTTATTGCCTTCGTTCTGATATGCTTCTTTTTATTATTACCAATTTCTTTATTTCTAGTCAATATCTACTTTTTCAGTTCTCTCTTTTAGGTGTTCCATGTTTACATCTCGAACAGTTTAAACATTAAACTTGGAAAAGCATGAGACCATGCGATGGTGTCAGATGACCTGACTGCTTACTCGATGTGCTTTGATACTGACACTTCCTTTTGTTGTCCCTCATAACATAATCACGGGTGCTTCCATTGGCTCTTGAAGTATCAGGGGCCAACAACCGTGTAGACATGCTCTCCTTAAGTTAATGCTACCAAAAAACTGATAGACTAAAGTGCAGAGACCGCTTGCCACCCAGCAGGTGTGGGTGCCACCAAAAAACCCGTTCAACAAAGTTTTCTTTTATTACTTTTTATCAGGCTTGAGTCAAGCCGCTTGACCAAAATTGTTTGGAGAAATGTTAAAAAGATCAAAGTGAAGAAATCCCTTTACAAATAGAGGTGCATGTACATGTTTATGATATTGTCTCCTTTACAAGTTTATGTATTCTTTTAAAGGACACATTTGGAGAAGCTGAAGTTTTATATCACTCAAATATACCTGAATAATCAATAATCTATTTCTGATGTTAGAAATTTTTTATGCTTTCTGCTGTCAAAGCCCGTTTTACTCCACCTAGACATTGTAGAGGAAAAAACATTTAGATCCTGTGGTTTCACTAGTTGTAACCCTAAATAACACATGAGACCCCAACTTGTGCGGATGATTGAAAAGATTTTGGGGGTTCCTCTGATGTAGATCCTCTTTCATACTGGTTCACCCTTTTTGTTAACTTAATTTATATACTTATCAATAAAAAAAATTGACCCTCATATTTCTAAACTAAAGTTGTCTTTAACCTCAAAAAATATGTACGCTTTTACAATCTTGGCAAAAGATTACCCGTCCTTTACCTTCTCTTAAAACTGGATGTCAGATTCTCCGGTATATATCCTCTTTGTCGTTTCTTCTATCCTCAAAATCCTATCGCAAACAGAATCATTCTTTTGCTCACATAGGCATTACTAAGAGAGGAAAACTACAGAAGCTAAAGTAGTGTTTCTTTCTCCTGCAGGGTGGAGACGACTGATATGAAAGGTTTAAAGAAGATTGAGGACCATTGACCAGACTGATCAAAGAAGATTGAAGACCACTGAACCTGCAAAAAAAACATTTTAGTCGTTCAGTATGATTTTAAGATTTTTTTTCCTCGACTTTTCTACTTTGTAAACAGAGATAATTAGAAACTTGATCTGGATATACCAAATGTCAGGGTGAGTTATCCGCTACTATATTCAATGCACATGTTACTGCCATTATTTGGATCTTAGCTTGCCATCCATATCAAGTTAGTGTAAGAGGTACACTCCAAGCTACTCGGATGGTTCTGGAATGTGATGGTAAATACCTTTCTTTGTCCCTTGGCCTGTTAGCCCTCAATGGATTGTCTGGTTTTAGTTAGTAGGAAACATTCCAAACATGCTGAAGCATTTTCTATAAACACTTGTGTATGTGTTGGTTCTATTGATTTTGTTGAATCACACACTTGTGAGTTGAAGTCTTAGCTAAGTGAGCTGTCAATGCTACTTATAAACTTGCTACTTGCCCATATTTCTGTTTAATTTGATGTATCAGAGCTTTTGGAATAGAATGATTTTGTTGAACAAGGTTGTTAGTTGAAATGCTAAAACTTAAGATTATAGCATCTGAATACTTAGGTGGTCTCTTTTGATCCTTGCTCTATTAGAATGGCTGTTGGTGTGAAGGGATTGTAGTTAAGAGGTCATTCACCGTCTGCAGATGGTGCCGTGAAACAACACTGTTGTCAGTGGTTAGGGTCTGTGCAAAATTGGCATAGCAAAGCCACAAAACACCTCAATTCCCATTTTTGAAAAGAGAGAATGTTAATTGACTGGCAAGAAAATACCTGGAATGTTTCATATGTGGGTTTTTCTTGTGGCAGCTGGATGCATGGGTAAATCTAAAGCTGTGTTGTAGGTTTGCCCTTCCCCCATCTTCTGCCTCACATAAATCATTAATTGGATCTGTTTGGGAGAGAAATCTTTCTTTGCTCTAGTTGCCAAAGCATTTTAGAAGCCATGCAGCTTTCTTGTAGTTCTAAAATGCTTATCTTATACTGTACTTCCTTAAACATGATGATACATGAGTCTTAAGTTTTATAGTTCTGTTCATTTGTTTGTAGGATTTTTAAATCTGAGATTTACTTCATTTGTACTTCTGTTTGATCTTGATCTACTATCAGAACTACACCAAGATACCTAAAGTTACACATAAGAATGCGTTTTCTTTGTCATCGAAATGGTGGTGTAATTATAAATCGGTAATACTTCATTTGCTTTTCATAGTTTTGATCATTTATTTTTAGGTGGAACATAGTTTTGTCCAGAGCCAACTGACTTTAAAAGTTAACTGTTAAACGAAAAATACATGAGAGTACGAAAATATACACGAACAGTAAACTAGAAAGTATTTCAAGTGAAAGAACAAAGTGAAAAAGAATTATTAATTGATAGATGAAGATTTCATTTGTTTCAAGTCTAAGCTAGCGTTTGGCCATAGATTTCCAATTTTGTTTTGAAAATTTTGATTTGGGTGAAGTTTGGTTTGAAGATGAAAATGTGTTTGGACATCAGTTTTCAAAATATATTTCACTCTGCAAAATAAATTACAAGCGTACCCGCTTTTCGAGTAACTTCAGACATACGGGCCTGAAGTAGCAAGAATTTATGTTTGAAGTTTGAACTTAGAATGTTTTGCATGAAGTGTGACCTTATCAAAGTAAAACTTCAGATATTTTTGTCTGAAGTTTGGCCTGACTTGCAAAAGAATAAAAAAACTTCAATTCGTAGTGCAAATTTCAGACAAATTAGTTTGAAGTTCTTTAGTTTGTAGTGCAAACTTCAGACAAATTAGTCTGAAATTCTTCAGTTCGTAGTGCAAACTTCAGACAAATTAGTCTGAAGTTCTTCAGTTTGTAGAGCAAACTTCAAACAAATTAGTCTGAAGTTCTTTAGTTTGTTGTGCAATAAACTTTAGTTTCCCAAACTTGTTAGTCTTCAGTTGGAACATTCTGAACTTAACGATCATGTAGGATCAGACGAAAACGATCTTATTCTGCCAATGCTTGAGACTTTGGAGTTAAGATTTTGTGTTGATGTTGATTCTGTTAATATTGTTTCTCCAAAGCTTGTGAAACTTCAGTTGATGTTCTATATATGTGGTATGGAGTTTTCTTTATGTCGGCATCACCGTGATGAAATTAATAAAATGTCGACGGCACCGGACATATGATTATTCCGGTCGTCAGAAAGAGAATTATACCGGTGTTGAAGGAGTCAAATAGCAGCAAGAGGATTTTTTGCTTAGACTTGAACTTATCCCCTGATGAGAATGTTGATCTGAAGTTATGGCCAACGACGTCGGTATCATCTCCGGTTTTGCGATGCTGTCAAAATTAGGAAAAGAGGAGGAGGAAGAAAGGAGCGCATAGGTCGCAGGATCTGAAGTTGTCAAAATTAGGGTATAGGTTAAATAATTTTAAAAATATGAGTATAGGGTTAAATGGGGGCGACCAAATAGGGCGTCCCATGCAATTTTTACCATGTATTTGCCAAAAAAAATCCAACTAAATTTTGGCAAAATCTATGACCAAACGATCCTAAATGTATCACCTATAGGCTATAACATTCTCACATCTTGAATACCTACCATTTAGAGAATAGTGAGCTTAATATGGTCCATCTACAGCTTAATTGATGCATTGATATAACAAATCTTCAACATCTCCAAATCTTTGGAAACATAATTGTTGTTCATGGCTAAAAATAAAAAAAAATCCAAATATCCTATCAAACTTAGGATATCCTCATCATCACCAACCACTCACACACTCCCACACATACCCTTATTTTTTAAAATTATTTGGCTAAAGAAAAAGGATGAAAATACCAACCTTCCTTTCATTCACCAAACAAAAACAAAGTAACACCAAAGAGAAGATCAAATAGGTGAGGTGATACCAAAAATCCACACTTTCACCTTCAACCCTCACCACCCCTTACTCATGGCTTCCTTATCCCTAATCTCACCTCAGTCCCCTTCTACTCTCCGCCACAATGCCATCATCGGCACTCGCCTTCCGTCCATCTTCCTCCGCAACCCCATCACTCGCATTCGCTCCACTACTCCTTCAATCAAGGCCCTTTCAGTCCCTTCAGCTTTAACCCAAGACGAACTCAAGAAACTCGCCGCCGATAAAGCCGTTGAATACGTGAAAAGCGGAATGGTCCTTGGTCTAGGCACTGGTTCAACCGCAGCTTTCGTTGTTTCCAAATTAGGCGAGCTTCTTTCATCTGGACAACTCACAAACATTGTAGGTGTCCCCACTTCTAAGCGCACTGAAGAGCAAGCCTTATCACTCAACATCCCGCTATCTACCCTTGACGACCACCCGCATCTCGACTTAGCCATCGATGGTGCTGACGAGGTTGACCCCAATCTCGACCTAGTCAAGGGTCGAGGTGGGGCCCTTTTAAGGGAGAAGATGGTGGAGGCGGCTTCGGATAAGTTCGTCGTGGTTGTGGACGATTCGAAGCTGGTTTCGGGTTTAGGTGGGTCCGGGTTGGCTATGCCCGTAGAGGTGGTGCAGTTTTGCTGGAAGTATAATTTGGTTAGGTTACAGGAGTTGTTTAAAGCAGAGGGTGTTGATGCCAAATTGAGAGTGGATGGCAATGGGAAGCCTTATGTGACTGATAATTCGAATTATATTGTGGATTTGTATTTTAAGACTCCGATTAGGGACTCTGCTGCTGCTGGAAAGGAGATTGCGGCTTTGGAAGGAGTGGTGGAGCATGGGTTGTTCTTGGATATGACCACTGCTGTTATTATAGCTGGCAAGGAAGGAGTCAGTGTTCAGAGCAAGTGAAACTCTCAATTGCTGAGGTTTGAAGAACTTTAACTTCTGTTTTTTGAGATGCAATTCTTGTGGTATTTATTTAGACTTCAATAGGGGTTGGTTAATGTTGTAACACTAATAAGTTTCGGCGTTTTTTTGTGGAGATGTTTAGTAATAATACTCCCATCGTTATGTAATTTGTAAATTAGAATTGAAAAGAAAATGTTTTGGTTGATTTCCTTTTTGTTGCTGAGAATATAGATATTGGCTATTTGATGATTTGGAAAAAATTCAGGTTTTGCTAATAGAAGTCAATCGTTATAGAGATAAATGTACTAGGCTATATCAGCAACAATGTGATAGTAGGAGAATTTCTATTTTCTATCCAATTGTGTCTTTTATTTTAGAGAACTCTTTGAATTGTTGAAATGCTGAATGCTGACTAAAGCTGGACTCTGAGGCTGCATGAAAGCTTGAAATTACATGATTTTAGATGTAATGTCTGGTGCTTGAAATTGTCCAGCTGAAGAGTTTAGAGGTGAAACCAACGTGGCTTTACATGTCATATTCTATACAAATTTACCTTGGGGGAAATAATCTTTTATCATAAGAAAGCTTCAAGTATGCTAATATATTTAGCAACTGTAGTCTCTTGTTGCACAAGGTTATTTTGTATGACAGATCACTGCTTCACAAGGTTAGCAACGAGCAGTTATCGTGAGAGAGTTGGCTTCGGGAGTATGTTTAGAACTATTAGTGACTTGATAGGCTGAATTGAGAGAACTAGCAGTGATGAAGTAGGCAGAACAGCGTACACTTGTGCTATAAGTAGAGAGTGAGACATGTTTGCCCGTGAAAGAACTTATCTAAGTTGGTCATCCAACTGACAAACTTGAACGCCATGGATGGAATGCTCCATAACCATTATAAACTGCTTTGAAACCTATATACAGCCTATGAGGGACATTTTGTCTCTAACGATTTCAGTATTATGTATTATGTTAAGGATACAAGGCTTATGAGTCCTGCCAGTATCCTCGCGGTGGGCTCTTGACAAGTACACCTGATTAAGATGGGAAAAGGGGTCCTCTCTTTTTCTTCTGAGAGGGGAGGGCTACATCCTATATGTGTATTCAAGCGTGTCTCGTGATTAGTTAGGAAAATCTTCTATTTTTGCTGCTGTCCAAATGCATTAGATTGATGGAAACGAGAACAAGTACTATCCATCATGCCATATCATCACCTAAAATAAGATGTGTAGTTGCTATATGAAGAACAGTAAAATCCCATAACTGATATAATATTCAAAATATACTCTGTACAGAAATGGCACACATCACAGATGTTTTATTAATCTAGTACATGTGAATCTGACAAATGAATGAAGTACAATGCGCTAGTATAGATGAAGCATCAAGCAGTAAGCCTGATAAAATGTGGTAATATCTCTCCTGACGAAATAAAAAGCCAGCCCCTCTTCCTAGTTGAGTAAAGCCATAGCTGCTGAAGCCAGAAAGATAGCTATCCAGTGGGAACTCTTGGGCCTAAATGATGTGGCTGCCAATATGGAAGAATTAGAATGGTGAGATGATCTTATACTCTGGTTAGAGGAAGTAGTAATGTGATGTTATCCCATATGTAGGGTTTTCTATGCATCTTGAATTCAATATAGGATGAAGAAAGTTGAAGAGAATATGAAATCTTAGAGATATCAAGAAGTTCGTTTTGTTTGAGTTGACGTGTAAAAGCACACAGCCAATAGTTGCTTTTGTTTCGATGAAACCTATACAAGGGTTATATGTAACTACCTGATGGATATATATCATATCTTTACTTGTTTTATGTCTCTCTAAGACACAAATTCTCTCTCTCAATATCGCATTAAGGTCAACAAGAAATAGCTTCTACTCCAGTAAATTGGTTCAAATTGATCGATGGTGGTAACTCTTACCTCCATTATTGTCATCAATGTTTGAAGATGATGTTGATGAAGATGGAGAAGATGCAGTGGAATTTGAAAGCCGAATTCCCAGCTTTTCGCAATCAGCTCCAATGGCACCTTCAAGTTCAATAAAGGGTTAGCTAGTGATGTTGTTTATATGAAAGTAAACTCTTGGAAAATAGTTGTTTGTACTTACAATCACTGAAGCAAGGGAAAGCAGGAATGTTGAGGAGATTGGAAAAACCAGAATTGCACTGGCATGTTTGTCCATGTGTTATATTTTTTTTGCATGTTCCCTCCCCACAGTAAATCCAATAGCAAGCTTCAACAAACAAAGGTCAAAACAGAAGATGGGGTTTTGATAAGAAATCAGATAGAACATATATGAAAATGGTTAAAGAAATAAATGGAAACTTATAATAATTTTGTAATTACGATCAAAGAAAGACATGTTGTGTGGAATTGGTGGAGCTGGTGGAGGTGCTGGCAAGCAAGAATAGTCAAGAGAACCTGCAATAAACACACCCAAGCAATATTATAATCTCGATCTCTTAGGTATATAAACAAGAAACAAATATACTACATAAAAAGAAAATGTAAAAGATTGTTAGGTGATAAATATAATTAGGCAGATATTACGAATAAAAGTAAATAAATGAAATAAAATTACTGACACTTGGGAACAATGCAAGGAAGGAATTGAAGATCATCTTCTTCGTCGTCATCATCATCATCATGGCGAGTTCTCTTCCAACCTTTTTCACATTTGCATACAAAATTGAAAGGCTTCCCTGCTGCTGCCTCGCAACTCCCTTTCCCACACTCCACATCTTTGCATATTTTGTCTATATATACAACACCAAATTTGGAAGTTGAGAGAGACTTAAAAACAAAACATTAATTAGGTGGCCCTGATCGTATAAAAATTATTCTACACACTACTGTTCAGTGTCTTGAAGTTAAAACTCTTCACTTGAAAATTTACAAAATTTTAAAGGTGAGCTTAAAACTGCTCTAGAATTCTGAGATATATTTTGTCTGCATGTATCTTTTTAAAAGGTCAACATAAAATATTGGGAATAGAAATAAGGAATTAAGCTGGAAGAAGAGAGATATATGTATATATATATACCAAAGTAGGGAGCAAGAACAGGAGGAATACTATCTTCTTCTGCAGCTAACATAATTGGTAGCATAACCAAAAGAACAAGTACATAAGCTCTGAAAAATATGGAGAAAGCCATTTTCTCCAAACCAAATTAGATATTTGAGGAGGAGAATGTGAAGCAGTGAATATGTAGTTTGTGTCCAATGAGGGCTAAATTTATAGAGGAACTTGTGTTGAATGTTTCATAGTAGAAGCTTCTTTGTGTATCAAAATTTCAAAGATTAATATTTAGCAAGTCTTCTTAGGGTTTTCCAAGTCTAATTAACTTATTCATGTTGTTGTTTGAAGTTTTTATCACTTAGTGGATTAGTTAATCAATGTCCAATGTTCACATACAATTAACTATACAAGTTTTTCTTTTTGGGGCAAAGGTAGTACCAAAATGTAGTTTGTCTGGAAAGTCAGCATTGAGAGCAACATAGAACCTACTAGTAGTATTCTACATAGACGGAGCAGGCTTTGAGGTTTATGAGTTAGAAATTCTAGTCATTTCAAGTTAGTGGGTTCTACTTTAATAATTTATAGTTTGGATCATAATTATTGGATTCGACTGAACCCTTATTCAAAAGGCTAGTTCCGCCCCTGATATTCTAGAGTTGTTTAATGGAAGCTTCTCCAAAATTGGTTATAATTCAACACCAGGCATCTCATACAGGTATTGGTTTTTTCTTCTTCTAGGCATTCATCATTCGAAATCTACTAATTAATCTAATTAAGTTCAATTTGCATCGAGTAAACTTACTAAAAAAGTAAAGTGTCAAAATCTGTGTTTTCCATTCCTTATAAGTGTAACTTTCAATTGCTGGACAATTGGCAAGAACAAGATTAAGTAGCACGTTCTTACCTAGCAAAGTACAATATTTGGGTTTCATTTTTCGCATCTCTAAGATTAGGTTCTTGATAGTAACCAAAAACGGTTGAATCACAACAGAAATATCATCTGTAGGTTTATTAAAGTTGGTGTAATTTTTCCTCATCCTATTTTAGGAGGAAGATGGGTGATTAATTCATTTTTTTTCCCGAAATTATAACTATCATAAAAATGGAATTTTAAAATGGTCTTAACTTTCTTAAAAGAAGAATTTTCCTTCAGTGTTTTCTAAATATTCATTAATATATACAGAGGCGGACCTACAGTGAAGGGTGCGGGGTCACCAGAACCCGTTAGGCTCGACCAAAAA